GAAGAATTACAAATTGGAAGTGAATGAACTGAAACAGTACAACACATTTTGTTCTCGAAAAATAAAAGTGAAATCGTGAATGCGGCACTTCCCGATTGCTGTGGTGCCTGAAATCTTCCACATACCTGTTCCCGGTATGCACACAAATATTAAGCAGTTACAAAACAAAAGCTGGCATATATCCAATAATGAGAGTAACGGCGAAACTAAAAACGTACGTAATATAATATTTTGGAAAAGTCGTCAGTTTGGATTTCCTATTTTTTTTTCTTCATCTCCATGCGAAGAAAAACGAAGTGATGTTGAAAATTAAGATTGCAAACTTCCTTGAGTGAAGATAAGATAAACTGCGAGATCTGCTGCACATCTTCTTGAAATGAGAGGTTTGAGAAATCCTAAGCTAAGTGTTTATTTGCGAAACTAATTCCGATGAACCACTAATTTTTCGGATACTCCAAGGATCAACAGTATTTACAGATATTCAGTTCCGCAATTTTTCCTGAATAAGATTCGGGATTAATCTTTGTCCAAGCACAATATGATAGTTGTTATACTGGCACGAAAGAAAAACCCTGCAATGAGGCGAAAAAAAAGATTCCTGGGCTGTGTTGCAAAATTTCAGACCCTAATGATTTTTCAATAAAGCCAAAAATTGTTTGCCAGACAATGACAACTAAATGGATGAACGAGCAAATGAGCGGGTTGAATGAACGGATGAGTCAGCTTACTTAGCTTTTATATATTGGATGTGAATGTGGGTACGTATCATATGTGCGCTGGTATCTCTTATTTACTCCTCCTTTAAAGCATTGGGTGATAAATGGAACCGAAAGGCGTGAACTGGTTCGTAGCTTTTTTCTTCTTTTATTATCATTTATGTAAATCTTCTTGATCGAAATAGCAATCAATCATTTCAACTGTTGCTAATTAAAAAATAGGCGAGAAGAGGACAACAAAAATTCAAGTTTATGGCAGCAACAGCACTGCCCAGATTAACTAAAGACTGAATGGATCGCTGTGCTGCTAATAAATCATCCTTTTGATGATTTTTTACTAGCAGATTGAGGGTTTTAATAACGTTTCGCTCGCCATAATGAATCCATAAATTCACAACTTCGTTGTCCAAACTGAGAGTAACTATGCGGCAGGCTGTAACCATGTAATTTACTCCTTCATCCCTGCACTTATTCATTTCATCCTATCTCTTTCATTAATTAACAGTTTCAAAGAACGACAAGAAGGATCAATATTCGAATAAAGTGCGAAGCATCTAAGAAACAAACTGACTATGCGACAACTGCCATTACGCCGTTTTTTAATATTCTTCTACTGCTTTCACAAAGACATTTTATTCCGCCCTAAATCTTGCTCCATCGTGACACGTGATATATGTCTGTCCGTCTTTCACTGATTTATGAATATTAAAAAACGATATGTAGTATTTTCCGTTCTATGTCCTATTCTCCTTCCGTCCTGTCCCCACTATATTTCTTAGGCTATATCATACGGTTTCGCTAATAAATCCCCAATTCTTCCAGAAGATGGCTGATAGATGTTGCGGTAATGAAGATAACCCGAAGAATACTGTTATTACAAGTTAGATCGCACTAGAAGGATCGACGACTCTATTCTGCCATTCTTCACATTGCTTTCGATGTCATGAACTGACTTCCGCAGAAGATACAATGCCAGTTGTTTAATACGCGCGAGTTAAGCTTTGAGTGATGTCAGGTTTGCATGTCGTTCAAGCAAAAAAAAAATTTAGGACTACTTCCCTTGAAACGAATTAAAATATAGACAGTAAAATGCTGTTCCATGGAGTAACTGCTCATTAGCTTTGAAATCAAGTGAATTTCGGTATTCAGAATACTTCTCATCAGAAGACAAACTTCATGTCTGTAAAAATCAGCACTGCATTTGGTGACCTGGTTCAACATGCCATATTATCGTTACCACTCTAGCAGTAGTACCGCCAGCCGTCACTACACCACTGACAGCAGCTGTTAAAGGTAGTGTTTAATACCGCTATTCATTTGTCATTCTTCCCAGCCATTATCCATCTTCACCACTCGCACTACCCCTCCAACCACGGCATCACGAACCATAATCTTCAACTCTCCTTCCTATCCCATAACTCGGCTATAGCTCCTCTACTTCCTTAGTGATGGGATGTTTCAGAAACCAAAAGAGGAAAGGGGGAATTCACTGTAGCAGCACATATGTGCTCTTTGTGAGGGCACCCGCCTCTCGTCAACCTCTTCTCCAGCAACACCAAAATTACCGCCATCACAATCACCACCTACGCTACCATCATCATCGTAACCATCATTATTATCATTAGAATAGCAATACTAAAATTATTACCAGTTCCTCATCAATCTAGACTAAGGTAAAATTCTCTGCTCAGATTCTCTGCTTTTTAAAATTCACTGCTTTCAAATTCTCTACTGTTTTTTTTTTTTGTTGCTATATTTGTGGAAAATGATTCTTGTGGTTTGAAATGTGTAGTTGGTTTGTCCATTCCCGAATTTTCAGTTTCTGAGAGTCTCATGTCCGTTTCAATGTTTTTCAATCCGAATAGTCAAGATGTACTTCTTATCAGCTTCTGTGGTTTTACCATCCACACTGAGTGATTCTCTACAACTTTTACCTTGATAGAAGCGTCATTTCCCAAAATTTCATTTTGGATATCAGAATGGCTACGAATCTGAACTGTTTTACTCGCTATAAAATAACAGATTCAGAAAATTTCTGGAGTCGATCCTTTCTATTTCAAGCTGATGGATGAGTCATCCAGTTAGAGGACAACCGGTGATGAACGGCGACAGCTGCTTTGTGACGGAGCAGGAGTATAGCCAGGGTCATTGTCAGCAACCCTCCTCGATATTTGGGTTTGTCATCGCTTCCTCTTTGCCTCCTCTGCCTCTTCCTCCTTTCCTTTGCTTCTGTACTGAAGGTATCATTCATTGTTTTGCCATGTTCCTCCTGCTCCTCCTTCCCACTTTTCAGCAGTAATATCCGTTAACGAATACAAAAATTTCCCTCGTCCAAAGGTGAAGTGTAAGGGACTAATTTCTTATGCCACATTAGTAAATTGGATTACAGTCATGGTAAGATCTAACAAAAAGCTTTCAAAGTTCTAGCATGTAGTACGACGTTAAAATAGAATTCTGATGAAAAAAAAGCTCGACGTACTAATAAAAAAAAGCCAATCTGTTAAATATATGAAAAATATTAGCATCAAATTACTATAGTATTCAGTTTGATGAATCAAACATTTCATTGTTAATGGATGAATGCTGTATAAATCATGACTACTGACAGTCCTGTATAAATCATGACTCATTTATATCCTGTAAGTTCTTGTGACTTACCTTCCGTTCATCCATTTCTGTAGCATTTTGTATCCCGGTCATTAGTTTTGTGACAGAGTTGGGTCATCTCAGAGTAGCTGCAAGGCCGAACTTTTACAATCAATTGTAAATTTTCCACCTTAGAAAAAACTCAGAAATTATAGGTTGTAGAAATTTCCTCATTTATAACATTAAGCGAGGTGGTCTTTTGATCGCTTATTTAGATTTATATTGTCGAGAAACGTGATTGTCTTCTGATTTGATTCCCCGGGATTTCTAAAATGCTTGGTTTTCAAAAATCTCATGAGATGAAGGGTTCATAGCACTTCGCACTGTATAATGGATGGAAAGAAATGCGTGACACTTACAGATTTCGAGAAGTTGGTAAAATATCTATTGGAATAGAAGTATCTATCGAAATAGAAGTATCTATCGGAATGTACGTTTAAGGGCAAACTGATAAAATGTCCATTGCAGAATGTTTCATTGCTGATTGATGGCTCTGATTACTGAACGGATGACGAGCAGTTGCGTTTCAGAGCTCCTGTTCCAATATCTCATAATAGGCAGTTTTTGTAACTGTTAACTGCGAGATTAATTGCCATCTTTATTCTTGCAAGTTTGGAATGTTTAGTTTTGTACGCTGATTGGATGGAAATAGAAAGTTTTCAGCGTAATATATTTGTTTTCTCGAGTAATTTAAGTCATCTGACTTACTCATTTTCAAATACATGTGCAAGAAAAGTCTCTGACACATTTAGGGATACAGCGGGTTTCTGGGTTTTCGATAAAATCTGACTATTGGATTTCAACTTCAAGTTATGTCTGACTATTCTGTTCTATCTTCAAGTGCAGATTTCATGTTCTCTACGACTGTACCATGTTTGATCGCATTTTTGTCCAGGAATGTTTGACCAAAGATTTCTTAGGTGCAACCAAAGAAATAGCCAAATTCCCACTCTCTTTTTTGGAAAATAATTTGTCCGATTCTTTTTCTATGCTTCCATTGAGAACTGCATGCCTAATTATTCACCTTGCAACTATCTAATCGCTTACCTGGACAAACCTGGAAGCGCTGAAAACTTTTTATTTTCTTTTTTATTTCTTTTTATTTTCTGAAAACTTTTTATTTTCGGAATGTTGCTATAAAAGATGCTTAGGATTTTTTAAAGAAATCAGAATGTTGTAAGCAGCGGATCTTATCAGTGGTCATACCACGAAACTGTACATCTTCTGTTTATAGCTGTTAAGAAATAGAATACCCTATTTCTTACTTTTATCTTTAATTCTCATTTTTGGACACTAAGCAATTGCTTTCATACAGTTGTCAAATAAATAATCACAGTATTATTCGGGTGAGCTCAAATTTTAGATAACTATGTTTCTGGGGCCTATAAAGATAGGTCATATTTAAATGTGCATTTATATATAGAGATATGAGAAATATACACATACAAACGCGGATAGTAACTGACGCTTCCATGATAATTATTGCGCCTCAATCAAACTCAATGTGATTTCTGATTAAGTTATTCGTGATTATTTTTGCTGTGTATCGAACTGGGAAAAGAGAAGTTGGTTAATCGTACATTCATCAATACATTTCCCACTCGACTACTCGTCTCCAACTGCTCATTCATCAAATTTAATTATTTCGAATTGCCGCACCATATACCCATCATTTTCCCCCACTACTGTTTACATTCGACTCCCGCTATTCTGATTTTTATCAGTATGTCCTTCATTCTGCTCGATACTTTTGTTTTTTTTTACGCGATATCAGTTGAAACGGTGAATCGATTTATTTTGCACTTTTGCAAAAACAGACGTAGGCGAAGGAATTGGAATTTCAGAATTTTGAATTAATCGATAAATTCGTAGTTAATTAGCGCTGGAATGATCTACCTGATACTACATAAAAAAGAAAAAAAAAACCTCATGCAACGGGTTATGAACAACAGTATCTAATCTTCATTATTGCATGCATTATCGCTATTTATATCTCATGCGTATGTTATTACCCGGTAATATCGTGACTGGCTGTATTATCATCCTGAAAAATCTGCGAGGACTTATCAATGGTAATAATTGGTAACTTTGATTCTATGACGACTTTCGGGTCGTTCAGCTAACCGTCCATGTATTGTTGCTGTGATCGTAAGATACAGGCAAGAATCTTGTCAAAAGAAAACTTGCCAGAAAAGTTTCTCAAGTCCGCTGTTAAGCAGTCGACCTGTGAGATGATCGAACTCTCCAAGATCGCTTTATTCGACGCATGCTAATATTCCAATCTCTCCCATGTCTTTTCGCCCTTCTGAGAGCTGAGTAGATACCTTTGCTGGCTCATCTGATGTTCCGCTGTACCTACGTATTTCACTTTCTACTCTTGTTTTCTGACCCAAAATCATTTCATAGTCTGCGCTTCGCCGCTGGCAGATTGTATATCCCGTTTTCCGCACTAGTCATTGGGACAGCTCCGCTACGTTGGGAAGATAACAAGAGAGGATATTAACAGTAGAAAGAGGTGAATTGTATGAAGGGTTAAAACATGGAAAGGTATGGAGAAGTATTGCATCATTAGTGAACGGCAGACATTTTACATCGCGGAAAGGCGAAGCTGCTTTGTTGCTGAAAAAGAGAAGAGGATCATGATAAGTGAAGAAAGCTGAACCGATTTGTGGGAGGGCTACTCGAATAAGGACGGAATGAGTCAATGAAGGATTCATTGTCGTGAAAAGGTTCACGGATCCTTTAAGGATGGACATTGTTAAAGGAGTAGTGGCAATGTTGCTTCTGAGGTGGGTTGTTCACATGTCGGTCATTTGGACGGGTAGTTGATTCATTTGTCGCATCCATCCAATTTGTACTGCTAAAGAGCTCATAAGCAAACAAGAAGAACGGAGGGCAGCAAGTCAGGACACTGCAAATGGAAATGTTGTGATACTGTGTGTGAATATGTGTATGTGTATGTGTGTGACACTGATTACCATTAAGAAGGAAGATATCGTTATGAGTTATCTTTTAGCCTTTACCATTACTTTTGCTGTGATTATACAGCCTTTTCTCATATGGAAATTACGGGACATCTGAGATGAGGGCAAGGACAAGATGAAGGTGTGAGAGGGGAGTGAAGCGGGAGATGGAGGAGAGTAATGCTGCTATTCCAACCAAAGTGATACTACAGTGAGATATCTACATCTCCTCCATTCAATAAACGTCTCGCAGTCTAATAATCGATGATTTTAAGACTATCAGGTCTTCGAAGAATATTAAGTTGGTTTTTATTTGCATTTAATTAGTAAAACTAATTTGGGGATTTATTTACAATAAATTTGTTTTTCAGCACCGAATAGCTGGCTAAAAGTTGGTTCTTGGCACTTTAAAACGTGGCAGAATTTGTTGTGCTGGTGCAAACGATTAAATCACTTTTTACGTACCACATTGTGAGGGGTAATTTCCTCATTCTAAGTCCTTTTATAAAATGTTTAAAAAATAATCCATTATGATATGACCGTTATGATCTTTCAGTTCATCAGAATTTTTGTGAAATGTTGTGCGGAAGGAAAAATACTACGGGATTTTGTTTTTCTCCATTTACAATCATTTTCGTCTTCGAGCAGAAAATTCGAATATTCTTTTGCGAAGGAATAACAGAAGCAGGATTTAACTTACCACTTCAAATTGCGTATTAATTTTCAAGCGTTAGAGATAAATGAAACTTCTTTTCAAACACGCTGGTTATTGATTGGAGTTCATGGCCAAACAATAAAATTCCCAAGTTCAGGCTGGGAACGTTTGGAACTTGTAAAAGACGATTCATGGAATTCTACATACTCTGAAATTTTGGCCAGATTCTGAAAGTGAGGATTGGCACTTTATCATCTCATCTGATCGAGTAACTGAATATGTTTCAATTATGTCATGTTGAAATATGTTGAACTTGAAAAAAAGAAATCCCCAACTAATTTTTTAGGCAAAGAAGGGGAAGTAAAGAAAGGCCGTCGTAATCTTCGTCTCAACTGGCACTCCTTTTTTCTATTTTTTCTTTCACTCAAGCTGTTGTGCACACGTTTCTGTTTTACATGTTTCCTTTTTTTTGTAGGACCTGATAAATTTTTAAGGAGTGAAAGAACTGAAGTACTTCCTGGCAACACAAATTACTTGTAATATAATTTGTAAGGTCCAAAATGACATTTATCTTGTGTTTCTGCGTTCGTCACCTCTGATCAGTTGGACATTATCGGGATGGCTTCGGTATTGTGAATATATCATTTATATTATTGGTTCGGACGATAAGTCGTTGATGTGCACATTCTCGACTGTTATTTCTGTGTAAATTCCACTCTTATGCGCAACAAATTCATTTTATATGTTTAAGACGTTTTATCATCCTCAATTGAAAGAAAGCGATGAATGTTTTTCGTAATTGAATGTAAATTTAAGTATTTCGCTTAATTAAACTTGTACATAATATCCCTTCAGCTGGAGCTGACGTTTGACATTTAAACGTTTTAAATACATAATATATAATTTGCTACATATTGAGTGATCTTTGTGTAAACATCATTAATTCTAAACTCCCTTTTAATTAATATCCTCACCTTTTATGT